TGAGGTTGCTGTGAGCTAGGCTGACGCCACGGCACTCGCTCGAGCCAGGGCAACAGAATGAGACTCTGTCTCAAAAAAAAAAAAAAAAAAATTTTGGAGTCTATGCCCAGATGAGAAGAATAATTATTTTGCTTTGGATTGTAATGTAAATATTGAGTTTGCAGCCAACATATATATGAATGATCAGGTTCTTTGTATGGCTAGCACAACATAGGCAGTCCACAGGTTACAGATCACCCAACTTATGGTGTTCCATACTTACGAATAAGTTCCCAAGTCTCCCTATAAGGATAATTTATAATTAAATAATTAAATTAATAATTCGAGAACTATTAATATTCTGCACATGTAAACAAATCTACATGGCATAAGCGGTCACTGATGCAGCATCTTTACACTAGCAGCTATTAATAGTATCATTGTTTATATAGTCGCTTACACCATCACTTTCGTCTTAACTTTTTTATTCAGTTTTGTGAGTCTGTGTTTACCCTTATGACCATGCCTCCAAAGAGAAAGTCCACTGCAAGTCCAGGTGAGCCTGCAGCAAAGAGAAAGCTTATTACAATGGAAATGAAAGTAGAAATAATTAAGCGTTCGGAGAAAGGCCAGATGCCATCATTCATTGTGAAAGCATTAGGTTTCAGTTGCTCAACTATCGGAATAGTTATAAAGGATAATGTGGGAATAATGGGACATGTGAAAGGCAGTGCTCCAGTGAAAGCATCAATTATTACTAAGCAGCATAGTGGATTAATTATTGAAATGGAAAGGTTATTTTTGATTTGGTTAGAAGATCAAAATACATGTAATGCTATTAGCCTAGTGTTGATGTAACATTAGGTGAGTGTCGACCTTAATATTCTTTTTTGAAATTTCTCGTATCTCCTATCGAAACTTGTGAGTTTGTTTTTATGTTCTGTTTTTGTGGATTAAAAGAAAGCACAATATTAAATAGTTTCTGTAACTTATTACAGTACAGGGATATTATTATTATTACAGTATTACACTGCATTATTATCAGCACATATGAGCCATTATAGTATTGTTATTATTATTACCATATGTGAACTGTTTATCAAAGATCCAAGTTACATACAAATCCAACCTAAAGATGTTCTCAGGAACGTATCTTGTCTGTAAACCAGTAACTGCCTGTGCTGGAAATATATGCCATTTTTTAAGCTTTATATTCTGAAAAATTTCAAACATATCCAGAAGTGGAGAGTAGAATATAAAGAATATCCATGTACTCATCCCATACTTTAACAATTATCAGTATTTTACTGATCTTGTTTCATCTATACACACATAAACATGCACATGCACATTCCACCCATACTCACCCCAGCTGGAGAATTTTAAAGCAAATCCTAGGCAGTTTGTTATTTCTCATAAATACTTTAGTATATATTTCTAACAGCTAAGGATTTTTTTGATAAAAACATTTATATTGTCCCCATTAAATATCTGCAATTGGCTTCAAAAGTCTTCTATGTCAGTTTCTTCAATTTGGAATCCAACCAAAGTTAACAAATTTGCATCTGGTTGATGTGTCTTTGAGGTTGTTTTTAATATGTAACAGTTTCCCCTCCATTTTTTTAATTTCGTACCATTTTTATTTTTTTAAGACACCAGGTTATTCATCCTATAGAATTTTCCACTTCTGGATTTATCTGATTATACCTTCATAAAGTCACTTAAGACATCCACCCATCCCAAGTATTTCCTGTAAACTATTAGATCTAGAAACTTGATAAGATTCAGGTTATTATCGTTTGTTTTTGTCTTTTGGCTAAAATACTTCATAGTTTGTGTTATATACTTTCTGTTGCATTGCATTAGAAGGCACATCATGTTTGGCTGCCCCATTATTTAGTAATGATAAGATTGATGAGCAGCTTCGTTGTTGTAAGCTTGATTTATCCAGTATAAAGTATCCCCATCAACCTTCCTCTCAGTGGTTTTAGCAGCTAGTGGCAGTGATTGAAGGCCAGAAGAAAGAAAGAAAAGAACCACAGACTGTGAGTTGATTTGTCATATTCGTACTGTTTGGCTGGGAATCCTCTCTGATTTCAATTTGTTGCATTAATTGTTGCTAAATTGCCTTTTTGTTTCAGCATGCTGTGATTTCCTCATATTGTTTGCTATATGAGTAACTATCTCAGAAGGAACAAAATACCTTTCCAACCTACTTTCTTTTTTTTCATAATTTTACTTTCTATGTAAAATTTTAAAATCCTTCCCTGATACCCAAATATTTATATAATATTCATCTTTTTATAATGAAGAAAATCTTTATATGTATAAAGCACTGTTTAGTGAAGTGAATTACAACTGTTTCATCAGCAAGAAAACTTTATAGTAAATTCCCTATGTTTTAAACAATTGTCAAATACTTACCAATTAATGTTTTCCATTTTTATTAATCAGTTAAATATATAATTCACACATCAAATCAACATGAGGGAACGTGCGTGATCATACTGAGATGTTAACATTTCAACAGGAAGAAATAAAATATTTTACCAAGACTACAGCTTTATACATATGAATCCAGTTATAGAGTTTGTAGACTCCCATCTCGTAAGAACTGCTCTTTGAGAACTAGCTTACAGTTTAGCTAAAGAATGTGGTATTATACATTGGCATGAGCACCAATTCTGACAGTTACTCTGGTGAGCTAAAGCAAGACCCTTAACATCTCAGTGCCTCAATTGCAAAATGGGATTTCATTTAATATTAATTTTATAAACATTTATTGAATGCCTACCATTTGTCAGAGTACATCTAGGCATTGGCAGTATGGAGACAACACATACCCATGTCTTCCAAGAGCTCATAGTCTAAGGAGAAATATAAACAATGAAATTGCTAATTACAGTAGTTACAATAGTCAAGCTCAGAGCTGAGAGGTTCAGAATATAAAATTCTTCGGGATGTCTTCAGATAAATAGACAAGAGAAAGAGGGACTCAGTAACGTTAGTATCATGTTTTAAATTCTTGTGAGTTAAATTGTGTTGTGTCATAAGGTAAGTCACTTAACTGTTTAGTGTGCCTCAATTTTCTCATCTGTAAAAAGAACATAAGAATAGAACTTATTCATAAGGTTGTTATGAGGGTGAAATGAATTAATATATGTTATTGAACTTCCCCAAAATTTCTCTAAAGAAACTGTTAATAAAATGAACTAAGTTTATTAGGACTTATTGCAGTAACACCAGACATGGCATTGACAGTCTTGAGTGTCTCTGAAGGGGGAAAAGGGGAGGATATTTATAGGATTTGGAGATTTGGGCTGAAAGATGGAAAACAGACTGGGATTTGAAAAAGTTCATGACATAAGAGTTTATGATTAGTATATATAGCAGTGCAAGGGTCTTGAAGCAAGTCTTGGTAAGTAAACTGTTCCTTGGTAAGTGAGCTCTTTGCCAAGGTGAGAAGATTGAGATAAATTAATATATGTGAATTTCCCAAAACAACCAATGAAGTTATTTATTGGTGTACAGTCTTATCTTTCCTGGACAAAGTTTTCCTATAACAAACAAAGAAATCATGTGGACACAGGTGGTTTCAGTTCTTAGACACAATAGCTCGACATGCTGATGCAGAGGGTTGCAGTTTTTAATGCAAAGCACTTAATTCCTGGCACATAGTGCATAGTATAAAACTAGTGGTTATGTTTGTTAAATGTCCTAGAGGGACAGAAATGGGAACTTAATCATATTTATAACACTGATTTTGTAGGGAAAAAAAATGTATTCTAAATTCTAATCAAACAACTTACAAATGAATTTTTAATGTCCCCATTCAAAGTCTGGGAAATTTAAAAGTAGATTTGGTTATTGGATGAAAAACTTTATGTTACATACAATAGTTAGAGTTTATAGTAAATTTACTTGCTGAGATAATCTGTTATGTTCAGATTATTATTTATTTATAGGATAACAATTTCTATATACTGTATATT